CCGGGGCGAGGGGATCCCCTGGGCGGTAATTCCAGGTACAGACGCTGTAGATCAGATTAGAGACGTTCTCCCTGAACCAGCCCCTGCACTCATGTCTCAAAGGGAACACACGGCTGGAGGAGATCCCCGCTTTCAATAGACCCCTTCTATCCCCACCCAGCAGGGCGGAACCCCAGGGCTGTGGGGCCTTGGGTGTGGTGAGTTTGTCGGGGCTGAGACCAGAGGGGCTCAGGATGCACAGGGAGAGACTCACCAGTTGGCACAAACTCTCCTCGGCACTGGGAGGGAAGAAGCAGGAGCGGGGCCTAGTGGTTACAACAGGATGGTGTCTGGGAGCCAGGACTTCTGGGCTCTCTCCCCAGCTCTGGGAAGGGAGTGGGGTCTAGTGGTTGCAGCGGAGATAAGGTGATACTGCAGGGAGCTACAATCCGGGTTGCCCAGTCTCTACGTGTCTCTCTTCTGTGTCATTTCGCCTCTGCACAGTCACAGCTCCTAGGTGCAGGATGTCACAGAAATAGCCACATCCTCCGTGTGGTCACGGACTCCGTGAGGGGCTTCTCAGAAACCCTCCCCCTGTGGTCTGTGTGACAGGGGACAGATGGCTTCTTTGCCCAGCACGAGTCGGCTCACACCTGGCCCCTCCCTGAGAAAGATCAAAGGGCCCTGTTCCCACCCGCCACCGAGATCAGTCGCTGTCACCCCAGCACCCAGCACAGAGATACCGGCAGGGAGCTCGGTGAGGACTGGACCTGGTTACTAATAGCCCCAGATGTGCCCAGCTGTGAGTTGGCACCTCGATCAGCCCCAAATCTTGCTAGACACGTCCTCACCAGGGTCTTCTCCATCCAGCTGTGCAAGATCCCAGCTGCTGGGTTGAGGAGGGTCTGCCCTTCCCCCAGTCCATGTGATTGGCTGTGGTTGAAAACTGAGACACCTAAGCAAGTATTTAGATGAGTGCGTAGGTGACCCTGAGGTTTCCTGCTCCCCAATTTCCTCCACACTCTGAGTTTATAAAGCCCACAGACCTGAGGCAGATGCTCTGTCCCTGCACTGACTCTGAAGATGCAGGTCCAGATCTTGTTCCTGCTCCCCATGGCCTTTCTCCTACCCCCCAGGGCTCAGGCTGGTGAGTACAGCTGGGATCAAGGGCCATGGGACTTTGGGGAGGTCTCAAGGATGGGAACTTAATGGGTGTTATATGGGGACATTTGACAGGCTGTACCATTTTCACCCCTTGTACAGGACTATCCTATATTTTTAGCCAAGTCTGCCTTGTGAGGTATCATTTGAAAACTCATAATTTGCTGATCATTATTGTCCTGATAAAATATGTGTCACATGTCAAGTGAAGAGATTCTACTGCCAGGTGTTACTCAGACGTCTTGCACGTCTGGGAAGCAGCCACAAACTAGCTCCCCAGAGACAAAAGGCTAATCAATGCCCCAGCCAGGTGTCAACAAAATTGCATTTATCAACAGGTGCTGAAAGTGGCCATTCTTAGGCAAAATAGAAAGTATGAGCAAAAAAATGTACATTTTAACAATGAACCCTTGTGTGAAATTCCCACTCACATGGATTTTCTTTCTCCTGAGTCCCAGCTGGTGAGAATTCTTGAAAAAAGAGAAAAAACTATTAGAAAGGACTTCTTGGTTTTGGTGTTAAGCAAGAAGTCTGATGATGAAGGAAAGCCTAACATAGTGAATGCTAGTGGGAAGGGGGTAGGTTTAGAAGATAAAATTAAAAAAAAGAAAAAGTTAAAAATCACCTAGAAAAGTTAGATACCTGCAAGTCACCAGGGCCTGATGAAATGCATCCTAGAATACTCAAGGAGCTGATAGAGGAGGTATCTTAACTTTTAGCTTTCACCTTTGAAAAATCATAGTACAGTAAACTCCAATAATATGGCACCTTTGGGACCCAGGGGGTGCCGGATTATCGGATATGCCGGAGTATAAGGAGGTACTGGGGGAGGAGGGCCACACAAAATGAGATCAAACTAGCTACAGGCATAAAGGGAAACAAGAAGACCTTTTATAAATACATTAAAAGCAAGAGGAAGACCAAGGACAGGGTAGGCCCACTGCTTAGTGAGGAGGGAGAAGCAGTAACAGGGAACTTGGAAATGGCGGAGATGCTCAATGACTTCTTTGTTTCGGTCTTCACCGAGAAGTCTGGAGGTGTGCCTAACGTAGTGAATACAAGCAGAGAGAGGGTAAGTTTAGAAGATAGGATACACAAAGAACAAGTTAAAAATCACTTAGGAAAGTTAGATGTCAGCAAGTCACCAGGTCCTGATGAAATGCATCCCAGGATACTCAAGGAGCTGATAGAGGAGGTATCTGAGCCTTTAGCTATGATCTTTGAAAAATCATGGCAGACAGGGGAGATTCCAGAAGACTGGAAAAGGGCAAATATTGTGCCCATCTATAAAAAGGGGAATAAGAACAACCCAGGAAATTATAGACCGGTCAGTTTAACGTCTGTCCCAGGGAAGATAATGGAGCAGGTAATTAAGGAAATCATATGCAAACACTTGGAAGGTAATAAAGTGATAGGGAATAGCCAGCATGGGTTTGTGAAGAACAAGTCATGCCAAACTAATCTGATAGCTTTCTTTGATAGGATAACGAGCCTTGTGGATAAGGGAGAAGCGGTGGATGTCATATACCTAGACTTTAGTAAGGCATTTGATACGGTCTCGCATGATATTCTTATTGATAAACTAGGCAAATATAACTTAGATAGGGCCACGATAAGGTGGGTGCATAATTGGCTGGATAACCGTAGTCAGAGAGTTGTTGTTAACGGTTCTAAATCCTGCTGGAAAGGGATAACAAGTGGAGTTCCTCAAGGGTCTGTTTTGGGACCCGTACTGTTCAATATCTTCATCAATGATGTAGATATTGGGATAGAGAGTACTCTTATTAAGTTTGCAGATGATACCAAACTGGGTGGGGTTGCGACTTCTTTGGAGGATAGGGACATAATTCAAAATGACCTTAGCAAGTTAGAGAAATGGTCGGAGGTAAACAGGATGAGGTTTAATAAAGAGAAATGCAAAGTGCTCCACTTAGGAAGGAACAATCAGTTCCATACATACAAGATGGGAAGCGACTGTCTAGGAAGGAGCATGGCGGAAAGGGATCTAGGGGTCATAGTGGACCACAAGTTGAATATGAGTCAACAGTGTGATGCTGTTGCAAAAAAAGCAAATATGATTTTAGGTTGTATCAACAGGTGTGTTGTAAGCAAAACTCGTGAAGTCATTCTGCCGCTCTACTCTGCACTGGTTAGGCCTCAGCTGGAGTACTGTGTCCAGTTCTGGGCGCCACATTTCAAGAAAGATGTGGAGAAATTGGAAAGGGTACAGAGAAGAGCGACAAGAATGATTAAAGGTCTAGAGAACATGACCTATGAGGGAAGGCTGAAGGAATTGGGTTTGTTTAGTTTAGAAAAGAGAAGATTGAGGGGGGACATGAGAGCCGTTTTCAGGTATCTAAAAGGGTGTCATAAGGAGGAAGAGGGAAAATTCTTCTCCTTGGCCTCTGAGGACAGGACAAGAAGCAAGGGGCTTAAACTGCAGCAAGGGAGGTTTAAGTTCAACATTCCTCACTCTCCCAGGGCTCACACTGGCTTCCGATGGGCTGGGGGGTGATGGCTTTAAGACCGAGATGGTCGGCGGTGCCAGAGAGATGTGGCGTCTCCCTCCCATCCCTTGGAGACCAGCGGGAGCTCCTCGGGAAGAGACCGGCCAATGTTATTGTTGGGGGTTAGGAGCCACTTTGATCTGGGACTTGGACGTTCTGGTGGAAACCAACCACGTTCCCCCTCCTGAGGCCATATCCTAGATAAGTGGACAGACGCCGTCCTTGGAGCCAGGGGAGGTGGGGCCATCTCTGGGCACCGTGTCGGTGGGACCC